CCTCGGTGGGAGGACACGCCCCTTGGGAAGGACACGCCCCTTGGGAAGGACACGCCCCGCTCGGTGGGAGAACACGCCCCTTGGGAAGGACACGCCCCGCTCGGTGGGAGGACACGCCCTCCGGGAAAACACGCCCCTTGGGAGAACACGCCCCCTCTAGGAGGACACGCCGCCTTGGGGAGGACACGCCCCCCTCGGCGCGGAACGGGGTGGGGGCCGATGGGGGGTTTGGGGTGAGGGTTTGGGGTGAGGGGGTGACAGGGGTCGTGAGGGGTTGGGGTGGGGTGATGGGCTGCTGAGAGGGCTGGGGGGAAGCTTTGGGGTCAAGGGCTAAGGGGGGCTGTGGGGTTTGGGGTAGGGGGTGATGGGGTGCTGGGGAGGTTGGGGTTGAGGGCGAGGGGGGCTGTAGGGCTTTGGGGTGAGGGGTGATAGGAGCGCGGGGTGAGGCTTTGGGTTTGTAGATGAGGGAGATTGTGAGGGTTTGGGGTAGGGGATGCTGGAGGGTTTGGAGTGAGGCTTTGGGGTCAGGGGGAGATAGAGGTCACGGGGGCTTGTGGTGCAGGATGATGGGGTGCTGAGGGGGCGGGGATGAGGCTTTGGCGTTGGGGTTTACCCACGGAAGCCTGAGATGGCTCCCTGGGTTACCTGGGAGGTGGATTTAGCCCTTTGCACCCCGGCAAGGGAACTCTCACCCCCAAAACCCCAGTGTTCCGGGGGGGGTCAGCTGACACGACCCCACATCCCCCCAACCTGGGCTAGTGGGAGGTGTCCCTGCCCAGGGCAGGGGGTGGAACGAGATGGGCTTTAAAGTCCCTTCCAACCCAACCCATCCTGGGATTCCGTGGTTCCAGCGTTTGGAGCAGCGATGCGGGGCAGGTTCCCGGCAGGAACGCGGGGCAGATTCCAGCGGTCGGTCCGTAGCTCCTGCCGGTCCCCAGCGAGCGGCGCTGCCGGGCCGGGAAAGCCGGGAACCGGCGGGGAGGGGACACGCCCGCCCACGTTCAGCCCCCTCGGGGGTGGTTCGGGCTGTAAATCCGGGCTGTGCTGCCCGATTTGTCCCCCTCCATCGCCCCGGCATGGGTTGGGGACCCCCTCGCACCCAGCGGGCGCTGTGGCAGAGCTGGGGGTGCGGGGTGACCCCCCGAACCCCGGTGACAGCAGCTCGGGGACGCATCCTGAACGACGGCTGCTCCCAGCCCTTCCCTGGCTGCTTCCCAAGGACTAAAACTCTCCAGCGGCCATTTGAGGTGCCCGGAGCCCGCAGTTCCCGCGGGATAAGCCCGATTTATCCCCAGCGAGGGCAGGGACTCCATGGCCCGGTGACCGCCCCTTAAATCCAAAGCAAGCGGCTTTTTACCTGCGGAGGGCTCGGAGCTTACGGACCCCCCACCCTGCCAGGCTTTCCCGCTGTGTCCCTGAGGATGGAGCTCCTTTTGGAGGGGCTTTGTGGGGGGTCCCTGGCTCCCAGCCCCCCCCGGGATGGCTCCTGGCACTGCAGAGACCCCGAGGTGCCCACCGAGGGGTGGGTTACGCAAGGACTGACACTGGGCACGGAGGGTGCCAGGGGATATTTTGGGCTCCGTGGGCAGCACACATTCTGTTCCCATGAGCTCAGCCAGTGATGGGGGCCGGTCCCTTTCCCACCCACTGCCCCACAAAACCCTCACGGGGGTCCCTGGGTGGCTCCAGGGCTCCACTGGGAGCACTGGGGGCTCAGCTCCATCACAGCCTGAGCTGGCCATGGCAGAGGCTTTGCAGAGCTTGGGGAGCTGCTTTGTTTTCAGCCTGGATTTATCCCCTCCCATGGCAGAGGGTTGGAATGAGATGATGTTTAATGTCCCTTCCAATCTGAACCATTCCATGGTTCTATGATTATCCATCTCCTGCCCGTGCAGTGGATCCAGGTATCCACTTGCATCCGTAGGGCAACGAGCTGCCAACACTCAGGGCATGGATATTCCTCCTCATCTCCAGCCCCACATGAACCCCTGCACCCCTGAGGGCAGCCCAGCCCCAGTAATGCCCTTTCCCAAAGCATTTTGGGCTCCA